GCTGCAGCCAAACTTTAAAATGTTTCTCCTCTCTCCTGCAGTCAGCTGTGATTTCAGGTCGTCATGCTGCCGCCCGCCTCTCCCCATCCACCTCCTTTCATCATATCCAGAGCCAGGAGAGCTAATCCAGAGACCTCATCACACCTCCCCTTCATCACCAGTGTCTAGACCCCGGGGGGTTCTCATATGCTCACGGCTGCATTTCCCCCTTTAGATATACCATTTCAGGATCGGGGTCTAATCGCCAAAGAATTAACATTTATTATGTGACATGTATTAAGGAAATGTTCTCGTACAAAATGAAGTCTCTCCTGATTGAAATACCCCACTGGTGAACTTAAAAGCTGAGGTTGCTCACAAGTGTCTAAAGTCCAACGGAAAAATCCCATTGTTTTTTGTCAAGATATCAAAATGACGTCACTCTTATTATTTATTGTTTCGTGTCGTTTAAGGGTGCGTTTTGCATTCCTAAAATTCCAAATGTCTTCTTATCTCGTGGAAAACATAATGTTAAGCAAACACCTGACGCGAGCTACTTTCCACTTTCGTATTGAGAGAACAGGCCTTTCATGGTTGTTTAAGTCAACCTTCCTCCACCCTGCGCTTCATCTTATCTCCGAGCCCTCCACCCTTTAACCCTTTAGCTCCATGTGTGTAGTCAGCAGCAGGACATCCGGGTGTCTTCTGCTTTGAGGGGAACACCGTTAGTTCAATTAGTAACTTCTTTATGACTTTTTACTGCTGCTTGGTATGCACCATGACATCCCAGTTACACAAACACACACACAACGTGGCGGCTTCCCTGCCTTGAGTTGTTTTAAGGCTTCCCTGGAAATAATTGGAAATAATGCATGACCAAGACATGCCCGGTAACACACACACACACACACACACACACACACACACACACACACACACACACACACACACACACACACACACACACACACACACACACACACACACGCACACGCACACGCACACGCACACACACTGTTAAATGATGTGGAAGTCACATTTACACTACGTACTTATATTTCCGGTATACAATACATTCTGAGTAAAGCCATGACTCATAATATATATAGTGGGTTCATTTTAGATATTACACAATTTCCTACACTCCCTATTAGAAATATTGCTTCTCAGAAAGGTTTGGTGAGAGCGAAACTTAATATTTTTAGGTTTGGGACAGAACAAACTGGAAGTTTCTATATTACAACAGTGACAGGAAATGACAGGAAATGAGTGACGACTAAGGAAAAGAAAGAAGAAGAGAAACGAGAGGAGGAAAGAGATCTGGATTTTACACATATACTATTATTTTTTATTATACAGGTTTTCTTTCTCATGTCAGGATTATTGTTCTTGTTAAAGTGAAACTCATTCTTAAGAGCCTCAAACACTCCCTCTGCTCCCTGGAGAAGACTCACATAAAGAGTTTGTTTGTTTATTGTTTTGGTGCAAAGAAGTTTCTGGATCTTTCTCTGTAAAGACCAATGGAACCTCTTAATTATAGTTAAGCATAACGTTGCTTTTCAATAGAAAATAATAAGGGTTTTTGGTTTCAAGGGATTGTTCTGGTGGTTATTAATATTTCTCAGATAGCTCACAGTGCATTGGCTGAGAAGAAGGTTATTAATGTAGATTAGAGCCACGGATGTTGAGATTTTATTCAACAAATCTCAAACCTGGATTCCCCCGAACTTTTACATTTGTCCAACTCTAATGACCCAAAATAACAAAACAGACCAAGCAAGAAAAACCTATAAAACTAAAAAAAAACTGAACTTTGAGGAAGGAAAATGGAAAGTTTAAGACTCAAAGCAGGCCCTGTTATGCTTTTTGTGGTGTTCCCTTTCCTGTAGTGTGTTCTATAATAATAATACATTTATTTTGGGGGGCGCCTTTCATGACACCCAAGGACACCTTACAGGGCATAGGGGCAATATAGGGAACAATTAAAACAGTGATAGGTTATAGGTTTTAGTACATGTAAATAGCACTACAACGCCTCCATTGGACTCCTTTGTTTACTTCCGGAACGTAGTGACATCACTATAGAACACTCGCACTCCTATTGGCTAGCGCTCAAAAAATGTGTACATGATTTACGATATACAATGCTGGCTTGGAGGAGAATAAGAACCCAGACACGGCGTTTGTTGCTACGTTTGTAGGACTTCCACAGAAGGTACAAAGCAGCAATAGTTGTTATATCCTCCATAGTCAAGGACAGAAATAACCAAAACGATCTTGCATGGAAGTGTAAACAACCTCAACCGTCCGTCAATGGCGTGACGCGGTGAAACTTGAGCGATTGAAGCGTCCGGTGTGAACGCAGCATAAGGGGCGGGACATCTCTTCGCGGTTGACCAATCACAACAGAGCCAGCAATAGCTTCCTTATATTACCATTATGTAAAATAAACTATACAACACTATGTCTAGAAACATTAAATGTAATACTAGTGTTATACTGCAAAAAAAATACCTTTACTCCAATTGACATGAGTAGTAAAGGCCTGTAGTACTTTCACTATGGAATACGCTCTGTACACACATGTATACCACCTCTGTAAAAGTACAACTTCACAAGTAGCTTCACTTGTAATATAACCACTGCCTACTACCAGCTTTTTAAAATATCTAAATCAACTGCTTATTTTTAAGGTGGAAACTTCTCAGGACTCCTCTCAGGAAATCCCCAGTCTTTTTTTATATAGGAGGGTAAACAAGATCAGCCGATTAAACCCAATTAAGTCTGAGAGGAGACGTAGATTAAAGAGAGGTCACGTGACTGTCTGCTGCGAAATGTCTCAAACAACGCCCGTTTATTAACAGCTTCAACACCGAAAAATAGAATTATTTACTGTTGGAGAAAACATGCAAAAAATGTATTTTATTTACCTTCCCTCCAGCTGATCCTCTGGATGATTTAAGTTATTGGGAAATGTCATTTAGCCCTGATGATAAATAACAATAAAATTAATATTACGGCAGATCATCTGTGTGTCTCTGTCTGTCCTCGTGGCTTTATACCCCGATGAAGACACGTAAGCACAGAATAAATAACCAGCGTGTGTCATTCAGCTGAAAGAGCGTTGTTCACTCGTTAGTGAGGAATGGCAGGAATGGAAATACATGTGGGTGTGAAATCTGAGAGGGAGAGCAAGTAGGGTTTGTTTACTTGTGTTATTGCTGTATGTGGTTTTATTCAGATTCTTTAAAGGTTCACACAGGTGTAGAGGAAGTGTATTCGTATGAGTGTGAGGGAGGGGATAAGGGGGGGAACTAGGGGAAAGGAGAGAGGGAAGGGAATGAAAAAGAAGAAAACAAGTGTGAAGTAGTTAAAGAAAGATCGATAGGAAGTGAGATGTGAAAGGAAGGAAGGAGGAGATTGAGGGAAGGAAATAAGGAAAAGGGGGGAAACTAGGGGAAAGGAGAGAGGGAAGGGAATGAAAAAGAAGGAAACAAGTGTGAAGTAGTTAAAGAAAGAGGGATAGGAAGTGAGATGTGAAAGGAAGGAAGGAGGAGATTGAGGGAAGGAAAGAAGGAAAAGGGGGGGAACTAGG